GGCTTCGGATGGCTTTCCTGAAGACTTGGGGTGGGAGGAGGGTTTTCCTTCCCACCGCCAACATTCAGAATGCTGTTCTGAATGTTGGCGGTGGGGAGGAAAAACCCTCCTCCCACGCAAGCCCCGGGAACAGAGGGAAAGCGCTGCGCGCCTTCCCCTCTGTTCCCGTACCTGTCCTGAAGGCTTGCGGTGGGGAGAAAAGCCCTTCTCCGCACCGCCAGCCTGGCAAGCGGTTTCCCTAGGAACGCATTAATTGATTTTCAATGCATTCCTATGGGAAACCGTGCTTCGCAAGACGAAAAACTCGCAAGAAGAATAAACTTGCGGAACGAATTAATTTCGTCTTGCGAGGCACCACTGTATACTGTTTCACAGCTGTAAAGCTGGGTCTTGTTATTTGCTCTGGCCCTTAAAGAAATGCACATCTTGTGGAACAATAATGAACCTTCACATTTAAAGAGACCATTCAACAGGGGAAAGGGCCAGAAAAGGGAAACCCAAAAAAACTGAGGGGCTGGAGCGGCTTCCCTATGAAGAAAGGGTTCGACGTTTGAAGCTTTTTAGTTCAGATTGAAAATAGCAAGTAAGAGGCAACATGATAGAAGTTAATAAAGTAAGACATGGAAAGGGCATTATTTTATGAAAACCAAGTACAGTGGGACCTCGGGTTACATACGCTTCAGGTTACAGACTCCGCTAACCCAGCAATAGTACATTAGATTAAGAACTTTGCTTCAGGATGAGAACAGAAATCGTGCTTTGGCAGGAGGCCCCACTAGCTAAAGTGGTACCTCAGGTTAAGAACAGTTTCAGGTTAAGAACAGACCTCCGGAACGAATTTAAGTACTTAACCTGAGGTACCACTGTAACTTTTTATTTTTATTTTAAAGTAAGCAGTATACCACCACCATCATCAAACCTTTATTGGCATCACAAACATTCAGAATAAATAGGCCAGTGCGATCTCGTTGCCATTTCAACAGTACAGTCATTTGCCAAAGGGAAGAAGAGGAGTGCGATCTATTTCAAAGCAGTATATAAATCTTGTTAAATAAATAACCCAGTATCCAGTAAGGGTTACTCATCATCCTGGGGAAAAGTGGAAGCATTCTGTCCTGGACAGGTTTTTCAATGTCTTTATAAATGACTTGTGGGACGCGGGTGGCGCTGTGGGTAAAAGCCTCAGCGCCTAGGGCTTGCCGATCGAAAGGTCGGTGGTTCGAATCCCCGTGGCGGGGTGCGCTCCCGTTGCTTGGTCCCAGCGCCTGCCAACCTAGCAGTTCGAAAGCACCCCCGGGTGCAAGTAGATAAATAGGGACCGCTTACTAGCGGGAAGGTAAACGGCGTTTCCGTGTGCGGCTCTGGCTCGCCAGATGCAGCTTGTCATGCTGGCCACGTGACCCGGAAGTGTCTGCGGACAGCGCTGGCCCCCGGCCTCTTAAGTGAGATGGGCGCACAACCCTAGAGTCTGTCAAGACTGGCCCGTACGGGCAGGGGTACCTTTACCTTTATAAATGACTTGGATGAAGGAGTTGGGATGCTCAACCTCCTTCGGCGATCACTCAAAGCAGAGTAAAATCGTCTTCCATGAGTCTGTAAGTGACCATGGAGGCCAATTCTGGATCCACATGTCCTTCCACAGTGGGGACATTGGTTTCTGGGCAGGAGTTGATCACAGTGAGGGTTTGCCAAGCGTGCCTTCCTCTTAGCACGTTTCGTCCTGAGGATGCTCATCCAATTTGCAGGTGACACCGAACTGGGAGGGGTAGCTAATGCCGCAGAAGACAGAATCAGAATTCAAATCAGATCGGAGAACCTGGTGCAAGCTAACAATGAATTTCAATAGGGACAAATGTCAGGTTCTGCACTTAGGAAGGAAAAACCTGTTGTACAAATATAGGATGGGGGACACCTGTCTTACTAGCAGTACAGCGGTACCTCTGGTTGTGAATGGGATCCATTCCGGAGCCCCGTTCACAAAATGAGCAGAACGCGACTCGTGTCTGCGCGGGTCGCGATTCGTCACTTCTGTGTGTGTGCGTGCCATCATTTTGAGCATCTGCGCATGCGCGAGCGACGAAACCCGGAAGTAACCAAGTAACCAATCAGAGGAGGGCAACCAAGATGATCAAGGGTCTGGAAACCAAGCCTTGGGAGCAGTGGTTTTTTCGGGGGGGACGCACACACAGTGCCGGATTTACGTGTAAGCTAAATAAGCTATTGCTTAGGGCCCCACTCTCTTGGGGGCCCCAAAAAATTTAAAGCAAAAAAACCCTGGAGGTGCATTCCAAAATATAAGATAAAAAACATAAAATAAAACCTACATACAGCAACAGTGGTAAATGGCTTTAGATACCTATTACAGCAGGTCCATAAATTACCATATAGCATGTACTCAACACAAAAAATAGTGACAATTTGTTGTTGGCAAAGGACAGCTGGACATATTAAGGGCCCCATTACCTTCAGTAGCTTAGGGCCTCATCAAACCTAAATCTGGCCCTGCCCATACCCCTAAACATTTTGTGAATCTTTGTACTTTTGTCCATTTACTGTATTCCCACGTTTCAAATGCTAGAAAAAAGTTCAAACTACACTGAGTAGCTATAAGCTTAACACGAGTTTGTGAGCTGAATTAAAAACAGCCCTGAGCCTGGTCTTGCCTGGGGAGGGCAGGGTATAAATAAAATTATTATTATTATTATTATTATTATTATTATTATTATTATTATTATTATTATTATTTTAGAAAGCCACAAGGGTTGGGTAAAAACGGGTTTTGGGGGCCGAATTAAGACCCTGAAATGGACTTTGGACATGCCTGGTCTACACTGATTGATAGCTGCTCTCCAGAGTTTGGGGCAGGGGCATCCCTAGCCCAGCCTGAAGGTGCTATTATGGTTTGTTCTGCCCCTTCCCCTGTACTCTTTCCATGCAATCACATTCCCTTTTCAATATAGTCAAAACAAAAAAAAATTCCTTCCAGTAGCACCTTAAAGACCAACTAAGTTAGTTCTTGGTATGAGCTTTCGTGTGCATGCACACTTCTTCAGATACAGAAAGCTCATACCAAGAACTAACTTAGTTGGTCTTTAAGGTGCTACTGGAAGGAATTTTTTTTTGTTTTGACTATGGCAGACCAACATGGCTACCTACCTTTTCAATATAGTCATATTTACTTGAAACGATTCTAAATGATTTTAAAAAACCCTCTGTAATAGATGCAGAGGGTTTTTTTGTTTGTTTTTTTTAAATGATTTAGAATCGCTTCAAGTAAATATGACTATATTGCGAAGGGAATGTGATTGCATAAAAAAAACAAAACCCTCTATAATCTATCAGAAGGCCGATCACAGAAGAATGGATGTTTTTGAATTCTGGTGCTGGAGGAGACTCTTGAGAGTTCCATGGACTGCAAGAAGATCAAACCTATCCATTCTGAAAGAAATCAGCCCTGAGTGCTCACTGGAAGGACAGATCCTGAAGCTGAGGCTCCAATACCTTGGCCACCTCATGAGAAGAGAAGACTCCCTGGAAAAGACCCTGATGTTGGGAAAGATGGAGGGCACAAGGAGAAGGGGACGCCAGAGGATGAGATGGTGGGACAGTGTTCTTGAAGCTACGAACATGAGTCTGACCAAACTGCGGGAGGCAGTGGAGGACAGAGGTGCCTGGCATGCTCTGGTCCAGGGGGACACGAAGAGGTGGACATGACTAAACGACTAAACAACCACAAGAAGACAGAGCTGTGGGCAGCAGCCTTTGGGGAGCTGGGTGCCATGGGCAGCAGTCATCAGTGGGGCTGTGGAGGAAACAGAAGGAAGTGGTGCTGTTAGGGGGTGGCCCCTGCGAGTCCAAGCCCCATATCCTGAACCACCTGCCCCTCTGCTCCTTTTTAAACAAGGGAACCCAAAGGTCATCTAGTCCAACCCCCTGCAACGCAGGAGTCCCAACGAAAGCATCCATGACTTGTGTGTTGCTCATTCAGAGAATCATAGAATTGTAAAGTAGAAAGGGGTACCCCCAGGGTCATCTAATCCAGTGTTTCCCAACGGTGTTCCGCGGCACACGAGTGTGCCGTGAGACGTTGCCTCGTGTGCCGCGAGATGCCTGGAGGGAGGCGGGCGAGTCGGGCGGCAAGAGGCGGGGCGGCGGCGGCGAGGAGAGGCCGCGCCTCCTGCTGCTGCCTGGCGCTCCTCCTCGCAGCCGGCAGCGCTGCCTGGGCGCCTCCGCGCGACTCTGCCTCGCTGGGTTTGGTCTCCCAGCAGAGACGGGTCACACGCGCCCCTCCCTCCCTCCCTCAGCCTGCGCGGAGGGAGAGCCAGAGAGAGGCATCGCTCCTGCGCGGCGGGAGAGGGAGCAGCCGGAGCGATGCCCCAAACGAACGCATGGGACCGGAGGGGAAATCCTCTCCGAGGCGGATTGAGCGCAACTGAGAGAAGCCTTTCGAGGAGCTGCCGTGTCCCCTGGAAACCCCCTTCCCAGCTCTGCCTCAGCCGCCGCCGCCTCAGTTGCCGCCGTCCCTCAGTCCCTCGCTCTGCTGCCTCCTCCCACCCCCAAAGCTTGGAGGTTCCCCAGCAAGGGGGAGGGAAAAAACTTTCACTTTCGTGCGTCCCTCCCGGCGTGACGCTGCGCACTGACGTCACGGGGCGGGGCTTTAATGGTGGTGTGCCGCGAGATTTTTTTTCAGTAAACAGGTGTGCCGTTGCCCAAAAACGTTTGGGAAACACTGACTAATCCAGTGTTTCCCAACCTTGTGCCTCCAGCTGTTTTTGAACTACAACTCCCATCATCCCTGACTAGCAAGACCAGTGGCAAGGGATGATGGGAATTGTAGTCCAAAAACAGCTGGAGGCACAAGGTTGGGAAACTACCTCCCCCCCTGCAATGCAGGAACCGACTAAACGACTCAGCAACAACAACAGATGCAGATCTTGGAAATGCATATATTTCTCTGCACTTTTATTTTTATTATTTATATTTAATTATTTCGGGTGACGACGATGCGTCTGCCCCGTCCAGCCCAGCCAGGATCCGCAGAGGACCCTTCGGGGTGAAGGGAGCGGAGGCGGCGCCGCCGCGGCGGGCCTTCCCTCCTCCCGAAGGGGCCGGACGAGGGACGAGGAGGAGGCGGCGGCCTCGGCCTTGGCGGGAAAACCTTTCAAGATGGCGGCGGCGGAGAAGCTGAGGGGCAAAGTGGGCGCCGCCTTCAAGATGCACGGCTTGCTGCTCCGCGCGTGAGTAGCAGGCAAAGAAGGGGGGCCCTCTCTGGCAGAAACACCCCGGGGTCCGGGTGGGTGGGAAGCAAGACTCTGCCCCCCCCCGCAACCCACGCCCCTTAAATGAAGGGGTGCGTGTACACGTGTACGTGTGAACGCAGCCCCAGGCGCGCGCGGGCGCCGCCTCCCCGCTGCGGCTCCTCAGGTGGCTGAGAAAGAGATGAGAAAGGGTGTGTGTGCAAAGAATGGATCTTTTTTCGCCATATCTGAGGACTTGGGGTCTCCTCGTGTGAAATGGACAGGCAACGTCGAAAGTTGGGGCGGCGCACACGGAGCCAAACTCGGCCCTCCGTATGTTTTTTTTGGGGGGGACTACAACTCCCATGATCCCTAGCTAACAGGACGAATGGTCAGGGATGATGGGAATTGTAGTCTGAAAACATCTGGAGGGCTGAGTTGGCCTATGCTTGCCCTTGGCCATGTGAGCTGATGAGGGTGGAGTCCCACAACATCTGGAAGAAATAAAAAAAAATGGTCCAGTAGCACCTTATAGACCAACTATATAACAACAATAACAACAATTTATTATTTATACCGCACCCATCTGGCTGGGCTTCCCCATCCACTCTGGGCGGCTTCCAACAAAATATTAAAATACAGTAATGCATCAGACATTAAAAGCAAAAAACATTAAAATCGTGCATTCACACGAAAGCCTATACCAGAACAGACTTAGTTGGTCTATAAGGTGCCACTGGACAATTTTTTAATTATTATTTTTATTTTGACTGCATCATGGCTACCTACCTGAATCTAACATCTGGAAGGGCTGCCATCAGCCACAGGTCGCAAGGACCGTGGGGAATTTGGTGCTGCAAGATGTGAGAAAGGTTTGTACGTACTAGGTTAGAAAGCTGTTAGAAAAAAAGAGTTAAGCCAGGCATCCCCAAACTCGGCCCTCCAGATGTTTTGGGACTACAATTCCCATCACCCATGACCACTGGTTCTATTAGCTAGGGATGATGGGAATTAGTCCCAAAACAGTTGGAGGGCCGAGTTTGGGGATGCCTGGTCTATAAGGTGCTACTGGACAATTTTTTATTTTATTTTTATTTCTTCCAGATGTTGTGGACTCCACCCCATGGCCAAGGGCAAGCATAGGCAAACTCAGCCCTCCAGATGTTTTGAGACTACAATTCCCATCATCCCTGACCACTGGTCCTGCTAGCTAGGGATGATGGGAGTTGTAGTCCAAAAACATCTGGAGGGCTGAGTTTGCCTATGCCTGCTCCAAAGGAATAGCTACAGTGGTTTTTCTCCAAGGACGGCGTCCACAGTTCTGGGGTGGATGAAAACGGAATCACTTACAAATCTCCCCATGTTGATTTTGTGGTGGGAAGCATTAAAAGGGATTCATGACAATCATTCCTTCTGATGACAAGCTAGACTTGTCAGTTGTGAAGGAGCCCCCACCCGCTGCCACCAATCCTGGCATCTTCCTTAGACATAATAATAATAATAATAATAATAATTTATTATTTATACCCCGCCCATCTGGCTGGGTTTCCCCAGCCACTCTGGGCGGCTTCCAACTCAATATTAAAAACAGTACAGCATCAAACATTAAAAACTTCCCTAAAGACATAGATGTCACTCTTGCAAAACTGCTCCCTCCCAGAAAGCATTGGGTTTGGAGAGGGCTGGCAAAATTGTTTCCCCTGATAACAAGCTAGATATGTCAGTGACAACAGGACAGAGTTTGGGGATGCCTGAGCTAGGCAAATTCAGGAAGGAGGAGAGATGTCCACCCAATGACTACTTGGCAAAGCAGCTGAATGAAGTCTCTGGAAGAAGTCTCGCTCCAAATCAGGTCACCAGGGCACACACTCCCACAAAGCCCTTCCTTCGGCACCCACAGGCAGTGCCAGGTTTACATATAAGCTAAACTAGCTATAGCTATAGCCCCAAAAAAATTAAAGAAAAAAACAAACCCGGATGTACATTTCCAAAATATAAGATAAAAAAACAAATAAAACCTACAATTATTATTTCATGTTATAGCAAGTTTCTAGAGACTAGATTATTGCCAAATGCCAAAGTGTTTGCATTATTAAGTTTGTTATGAATAAAAAATCACTTTAACTTGGAGCTTAATAAAAATCTCACTATTAATATACTTAATTGTATTTCACTGTTAATATACTTCTAAATTGTATTTCAGTTCAACAATTCCTTTGATAAAGTACATATTTTGTTATGTGTAAATGGCTTTAGAAACCTTGTTGTTGTTTAGCCGTTTAGTCGTGTCTGACTCTTCGTGACCCCATGGACCAGAGCACGCCAGGCACTCCTGTCTTCCACTTTAGATACCTATTAGGTCCATAAATGACCATATAGCATATACTCAACAGAAAAAGCAGTGACAATTTGTTGTTGACAGCTGGACATATAAAGGGCCCCATTACCTTTAGTAGCTTAGGGCCTCATCAAACCTAAATCTGGCCCTGCCTGCAGGTCCCCTCCCTCTGCTGAAATTAGCAATATAGAGTCGTACCTTGGTTCCCAAACGCCTTGGTACTTGTACATTTTGGTTCCCGAATACTGCAAACCCGGAAGTGAGCTTTCCGGTTTACGAACTTTTTTGGAAGCCCAACGTCCGACGCGACTTCCGCAGCTTCCAGTTGAGTGCAGGAAGCTCCCGCAGCCAATCAGAAGCTGCGCCTTGGTTTTTGAACGTTTTCGGAAGTCGAACGGACTTCCGGAACGGATTACATTCAAGAACCAAGGTATGACTGTATTTTAGCTGACAAACTAATGATTCAATGGGGGCTGTTCTCGTGTTCAGGTTCACGTCTGTATGCCATCGTCATGTGCATTATTACGATCGTTTCAATCACATCTTGACTAATTTTGTTCTTTGTTCTTTAATCAGAGAAGCTACCAAGTATCTCACAGAAGCTCTTCAGACAGTAAATGAAGCAGAGCTTGAAGACATGATAGAAAATATAATTGATGCTGTTGAAAAGCAGCCTTGTAAGTAGAGTTTTGGTTACCTTAAATGCTTTGAAGAGAAAATAAAGTTGGATTCTTATGAGTTTTGTGGCGTCCTTGTGTGGCTGTGATGCTCATGATAATCAAATGTGTTAAAGTTTTCTGGATCTAATAATTGGCACAATAGATGGCAGGGGCAGAACTTTGGGTCAGAAGGCTGCATGTGCAACCAGCAAATAGAGCATTATGTTCCAGTTAGCTTCTCATTGCTAATAAGATTGCAATTCTACTATGATTTCTCTTGAAGCAAAGGTACCGTATTTTTCGCTCTATAGGACGCACCCAACCATAGGACGCACCTTGTTTTAGAGGGGGAGAACAAGAAAAAAAAATTCTTTCTGCTCAGCGCCCCTTCTGCGAAGTGCTCCCTTTGCACTTTGGAGGCTTCGCTTTGCTATCACTGAAGCCAAGGAGCCTGCATTCGCTCCATAGGACGCACACACATTTCCCCTTAATTTTTGGATGGGAAAAAGTGCGTCCTATAGAGCGAAAAATATGGTATTTTAAAAAATTAGGAATTTAAACAAAACATATTATCTTAAAACATATAATCCTTAATCCCCCCCATAAAACAACCCCCCCTCCCTGCCCCCCCCGACTTCCCTCAGTTCCAATCTCTGGTTTCTCTATAAATGCTATTCTCTGCATGTTACAAAATTGTATAAATCCTTAATTTATCTAACTGGTTATTATCAACAAAAAGTTTGTGAGTGTTTATTCAAAGCCTGCCAAGGAGTCCAATTCACTTTGTTGGATCTTTAGATACTTTGTAAAAGGTTCCCATTCATCTTTAAAGTCACAGTTATCCTTGTCCCGTAGTTTATGTGTCAATTTTGCCAATTCTGCACAGTCCATCAGTTTCTCTTGCCATAATTCTTTAGTCGGGATTTCCTCGTTCTTCCATCCTTGTGCTATTAAGACTCTGGCCGCCGTTGTCGCAGACATGAAGATATTTTTCAACTTCTTTGGCAGGTCTTTTCCTACAATCCCTAACAAAAATGCTTCAGGTTTTTTAGCAAATGTTAGATGGAACATTTTCTTCAATTCATTGTATGTCATTTCCCAATTTTTTTAAATTTCATTACAATCCCACCACATATGGTAAAAGGTCCCCTCCTTTTCCTTACACTTCCAACACATATTTGAGCTAGTTTTATACATTTTTCCTAACTGCACTGGTGTCATATACCATCTATACATCATCTTCATATAATTTTCTTTCAACAAAGAACAATCTGTAAACCATTTTAATCTTTTGAATTGTTCTCTTCAGTGACATGTAATATGATTGAAAGAGCCATGGTGGAAGCAGCAGTCCTGGAGTGCAGCCAGTCCCCAGATGAGACTATGTAAGTCGGCATCAATTCACATAGAGGAGTAAACAAACCACTGGGAACATTTCTGCCATCGAATTCAGTTAATTGCCATTTGTAGCCCTCCCTGCTGATATTTCAGATTTAAAACTCATTAACGCTAGCCCCTTATTTAGACTCTGAGCGAAATTGCCATCATAGGAGACAGTAATGGGAATCCCCCTGAATGGCTTTAAAGGAGTCTTAGACAAATTCATGGAGGATACTGCTATCAGTGGCTACTAGTCAGGGTGGCTGTACAGTGGTACCTCAGGTTAAGTACTTAATTCGTTCCGGAGGTCCGTACTTAACCTGAAACTGTTCTTAACCTGAAGCACCACTTTAGCTAATGGGGCCTCCTGCTGCCGCACCGCTGGAGCACAATTTCTGTTCTCAACCTGAAGCAAAGTTCTTAACCTGAAGCAATATTTCTGGGTTAGTGGAGTCTGTAACCTGAAGCGTATGTAACCTGAAGCGTATGTAACCCAAGGTACCACTGTACAGTCATACCTCATGTTACGTCTGCTTCATGTTATGTGCTTTCAGGTTACGTCCCGCGGCGCCCTGGGTGTACCGGAAAGGGTTACTTCCGGGTTTTGCTGCTCGCGCATTCGCAGACTCGCAAAATGACATGCGCAGAAGCAGTGAATCACAACCGCGCATGCACAGATGCGCTGCTGCGGGTTGTGTTCCTTTCATGTTGCGAGTGGGCCTCCGGAACAGATCCTGTTTGCAACCAGAGGTACCACTGTATTGCCTCAGAGGTGGCACGCTCCTGGTCACTTGCTGGGAATCAGAGAGTGCTGTTGTGCTAATAATTCGGTTTGTGTGCTTCGTATATAGGCAAATGGTTTGCTACTGTGAGAAAATAGGCCTTTGCTCTCATCCAACAAGGCTTTTTTGATGTTCTTATGACACAACAAACTGCTTAATCAAAAGCATAAGGGAAAGCTTCTGAACTCCTTGAGCTGTGCCAGGGGAGTGTTTGAACCCCGAGGGAAGCCGTTTATTTGCGTCTGCTAGAATAAATTGAAAATCAAAGTAACTGTATTCATAGAATCATAGAGTTGGAAGAGACCACAAGGGCCATCGAGTCCAACCCCCTGCCAAGCAGGAAACACCATCAGAGCACTCCTGACATATGGTTGTCAAGCCTCTGCTTAAAGACCTCCAAAGAAGGAGACTCCACCACACTCCTTGGCAGCAAATTCCACTGTCGAACAGCTCTTACTGTCAGGAAGTTCTTCCTAATGTTTAGGTGGAATCTTCTTTCTTGTAGTTTGGATCCATTGCTCCGTGTCCGCTTCTCTGGAGCAGCAGAAAACAACCTTTCTCCCTCCTCTATGTGACATCCTTTATATATTTGAACATGGCTATCATATCACCCCTTAACCTCCTCTTCTCCAGGCTAAACATGCCCAGCTCCCTTAGCCGTTCCTCATAAGGCATCGTTTCCAGGCCTTTGATCATTTTGGTTGCCCTCCTCTGGACACGTTCCAGTTTGTCAGTGTCCTTCTTGAATTGTGGTGCCCAGAACTGGACACAGTACTCCAGGTGAGGTCTGACCAGAGCAGAATACAGTGGCACTATTACTTCCCTTGATCTAGATGCTATACTCCTATTGATGCAGCCTAGAATTGCATTGGCTTTTTTAGCTGCCGCGTCACACTGTTGGCTCATGTCAAGTTTGTGGTCAACCAAGACTCCTAGATCCTTTTCACATGTACTGCTCTCAAGCCAGGTGTCCCCCATTTTGTATTTGTGCCTCTCATTTTTTTTGCCCAAGTGCAATACTTTACATTTCTCCCTGTTAAAATTCATCTTGTTTGTTTTTGCCCAGTTCTCTAAACTGTCAAGGTCGTTTTGAAGTGTGATCCTGTCCTCTGGGGTGTTTGCCACCCCTCCCAGTTTGGTGTCATCTGCAAATTTGATCAGGATGCCCTTGAGTCCATCATCCAAGTCGTTGATAAAGATGTTGAATAAGACCGGGCCCAAGACAGAACCCTGTGGCACCCCACTAGTCACTCTTCTCCAGGATGAAGAGGAACCATTGATGAGCACCCTTTGGGTTCTGTCAGTCAGCCAGTTACAAATCCACTGAGTGGTAGCATAGTCAAGACCGCATTTTACCAGCTTCTTTACAAGAATATCATGGGGCACCTTGTCAAATGCCTTGCTGAAATCAAGGTAGGCTACATCCACTGCGTTCCCTTCATCTACCAGGCTTGTAATTCTGTCATTCTCGCTGTTCAAGCAAATGTAAAGTGATTTTCTTGTAAATGTGAAAATACATGAATAAGATACAGTAGGATAATGAATCAAATTGTTTTTAAAGTGATTTCCCCCCCTTTAAAATGCATTCATATGTATGTGCCTTACTGTGTATGTCTTTGTTTTAACCCCCAGGGAACATATTTTCAACATTATTGGAGCATATGATATCCCCAGATACGTTTACAATTCTGAAAGAAAGAAGTTTCTCCCGTAAGTTCTTGCTTTGCAGTTTCGGAAGAGCTGGCATCCCCACAATCCCAAAGTTTCCCCATTTCCTCAGACCAGGTTTGACTTATAATATGCAAAGGTTTCCTAGTGCCCTATTTTAGCACGGAGGCGCAGGTCAATTCTATGTCCAGGGCAGCTGTCTACTAGCTCCACCTGGTACACCGGCTGAGACGCTTCCTGTCCACGGACTGTCTCGCCAGAGTGCTGCATGCTCTGGTTATCTCCCGCTTGGATTACCGCAATGCGCTCTACGTGGAGCTACCTTTGAAGGTGACCCGGAAACTACAACTAATCCAGAATGCGGCAGCTAGACTGGTGACTGGGAGCGGCCGCCGAGACCATACGTTTCCGGTCCTAAAGGATCTTCATTGGCTCCCAGTGTGTTTCCGAGCACAATTCAAAGTGTTGGTGTTGACCTTTAAAGCCCTAAATGGCCTCGGCCAAGTACAGTGATGCCTCGCAAGACGAAATTAATTCGTTCTGCAAGTTTTTTCTTCATACGAGTTTTTCGTCTTGCGAAGCACGGTTTCCCATAGGAATGCATTGAAAATCAATTAATGCGTTCCTAGGGAAACCGCTTGCCAGGCTGGCGGTGCGGAGAAGGGCTTTTCTCCCCACCGCAAGCCTTCAGGACAGGTACGGGAACAGAGGGGAAGGCACGCAGCGCTTTCCCTCTGTTCCCGGGGCTTGCGTGGGAGGAGGGTTTTTCCTCCCCACCGCCAACATTCAGAACAGCATTCTGAATGTTGGCGGTGGGAAGGAAAACCCTCCTCCCACCCCAAGTCTTCAGGAAAGCCATCCGAAGCCGGGCGGCGGGAGAAGGTGTCCCCGCCCGCCGGGCGGCGGGAGGAGGCGTCCCCGCCCCGCCGCCCGGCTTCGGAGCTTCGTTCCGATGCCGGGCGGCGGGAGGAGGCGTCCCCGCCCCGCCGCCCGGCTTCGGAGCTTCGTTCCGATGCCGGGCGGCGGGAGGAGGCGTTCCCGCCCCGCCGCCCGGCATCGGAGCTTCGTTCCGATGCCGGGCGGCGGGAGGAGGCGTTCCCGCCCCGCCGCCCGGCTTCGGAGCTTCGTTCCGATGCCGGGCGGCGGGAGGAGGCGTTCCCGCCCCGCCGCCCGGCTTCGGAGCATCGTTCCGAAGCCGGGCGGCGGGAGGAGGTCCGAGGACAGTGGGGAAGACGCGCTGCGCTTCCCCGCTGTCCCGGAGATTTCCCTATGGGCTTTCGTCTTGCGAAGCAAGCCCATAGGGGAATTCGTTTTGCGAAGCGCCTCCAAAATGGAAAACCCTTTTGTCTAGCGGGTTTTCCGTCTTGCGAGGCGTTCGTCTTGCGGGGTACCACTGTATACCTGAAGAAGCGTCTTCACCCCCGTCATCTAGCCTGGACACTGAGGTCCATCTCCAAGGTCTTCTGCTGGTTCCCTCACTGCGAGAAGTGAAGTTACAGGGAACCAGGCAGGTTCGGTAGTGGCGCCCTCCCCGTGGAACACCCTTCAGATGTTAAGGAAATAAAGAACGATACAACTTTTAAAAGACATCTGAAGGAAGCTCTGTATCGGGAAGTTTTTAATGTTTGATGCTTTATTATGTTTTATATATTGTGTAAGCCGCTCAGAGCAGCTGGGGAAGCCAGATGGGCAGGGTATTATTATTACTACTACTATTATTATTATTATTATTAATAATAATAATAAAAATAATTTTTTATTTATGCCCCGCCCTCCCCGGCCAGAGCCGGGCTCAGGGCGGCTGACACCAGTAAAATTACAATAAAAACATAATGGGGGGGGGAGAGAAATGAAAAGAATAAAACCCAATTTAAAATACGGGTTAAAATACAATTTAAAATGCAGCCTCATTTTAATAGTAGCCAATAGATCAAAACCATAAGGGGAGGGAAACATAAGGGTCAGACTGAGTCCAAACCGAAGGCCAGGCGGAACAGCTCTGTCTTGCAGGCCCTGCGGAAAGATGTCAAGTCCCGCAGGGCCCTGGTCTCTTGGGACAGAGCGTTCCACCAAGTCGGGGCCAGTACTGAAAAGGCCCTGGCCATAGTTGAGACCAGTGGCGTAGCGTGGGGGGTGCAGGGGGGGCTGGCCGCACCGGGCGCAACATCTGGGGGGACGCGCTTGCACTCGCAGTGCTAAAATCCACGGGTTAGGGGGCGCAAATTACTTGCCTTGCCCCGGGTGCTGACAACCCACGCTACGCCACTGGTTGAGACCAACCTAACCACCTTGTGACTTGGGACCTCCAAAATGTTGTCATTTGTGGACCTGAAGGTCCTCCATGGGACATACCAGGAGAGGCGGTCCCGTATTATTATTAGTGCACACTTTTTGTGCTCACTTAAAACCCACCTTTACACAAGTCTCTGTAAAAATTGATTTCAGCCTCTCAATGACCGGCCATTCGGCTCCAAATTTATTCGGCTCTGCCAGGGATAAAGCAGAACTGTTCCGTGAGCGCTACATCATCTTGCAGCAGGTAAGATAAAGGGAGGAAATAGTCCATCAGATACATGTTAATGCCATAAGTACACGACAAGAGTGCTGCTGAATCGGATCCAAGGACCCATGTAGCCTAGCATCCTATGCCCACAGTGGCCACTCAGATGCTCCCAATGCCCACAGAAGGACTTGAGGGCAGTAGCCTTTCTGTGCTGTTTGCCCTCCAGCAACTGATATTGCAAGGTATGCTACCCCTGGACAAGGAGGTTCCACTTAGCTGCCATGGCTGACAGCTGCTGATAGTGTCCTCTTCCTTCACGAATTTGGCTTATTCCCATCTTAAAACTACAGTCATACCTCGGGATAAATACGCTTCAGGATAAGTATTTTCGGGTTGCGCTCCGCTGCGACCCGGAAGTAACAGAGCACATTACTTCCGGGTTTCGCCGCTCGCACGTGCGCAGGCGGTAAAAATGACATCATGTGCGGAAGCGGCGAAACGTGACCCGCGCACACGCAGATGCGCAGTCGTGTCTTACGTTCTGTTCAGGATGCGAACGGGGCTCCGGAATGGATCCCGTTCGCATCCCGAGGTACCACTGTATCTGTAATAGTGGCTGCCACCACATGCTGTGGCAGCAAATTCCATGAGTTGATTAACGTATTTTTCGCTCTATAAGACGCACCAGACCACAAGACGCTCCTAGTTTTTGGAGGAGGAAAACAAGAAAAAAAATATTCTGAATCCCAGAAGCCAGAACAGCAAGAGGGATCGCTGCGCAGCGAAAGCAGCGATCCCTCTTGCTGTTCTGGCTTCTGGGATAGCTGTGCAGCCTGCATTCGCTCCATAAGACGCACACACATTTCCCCTTACTTTTTAGGAGGGAAAAAGTGAGTCTTATAGAGCAAAAAAATACGGTATATGTTAAGCAAGCAGCTGCAGTTTCCTTCCAAATAATTAAATTTGTAGCTGTGGAACATCGTTTTGTTTTACCACCAAGCTTGTAAAGCACATATCCCAACCATAGTAGGCTAGGACTGTGGTTAATGTGAGATAATAGCTTGAGGGCATCATTGCACGGGGGGACATGTTTTAACCCTAACTGCACGGTGCTTTCCCTTGCTACCTGGCTTGTATTTCCCACTCTGCAGAGAACGCATAGGCACGAACTGTTCACACCATCTGCTATTGGCGCACCTGCAGAGGAAAGCAGAAGTAAATTCCAGGTAAAATTTAAAATGTTTTCATTTACTTACTTAAATATTTACAGAATTTATATCCTGCACCTTGCAACACAAAGGCCTTTTGGAGACTTGGGGCATGCGTTTCTCAAACAGCAGCTCCCATTTTTCCTGAGAGCAAACTAAAGGTGAAGGGACCCCTGACCATTAGGTCCAGTCGTGACCGACTCTGGGGTTGCGGCGCTCATCTCGCTTTATTGGCCAAGGGAGCTAGCGTACAGCTTCCGGGTCATGTGGCCAGCATGACTAAGACTCTTCTGGCAAATCAGAGCAGCGCACGGAAACGCCGTTTACCTTCCCGCCGGAGCGGTACCTATTTATCTAATTGCACTTTGACGTGCTTTTGAACTGCTAAGTTGGCAGGAGCAGGGACCGAGCAATGGGAGCTCACCCCGTCACAGGGATTCGAACTGCCGACCTTATGATCGGCAAGTCCTAGGCTCTGTGGTTTAACCCACAGCACCACCCACGGCCCACGAGAGCAAACTAAGGACAAACTAAGGAGTCTTTAAAAACCGCTGAAAGCCAATCTTCAATCTTTGGAAGAAGATTGGAAGAAATTTAAAGACTATTTACAGAAATACTGCAAAAATAATGAATTTTAGAATGATGTTGGATTGAAGTTAAGTGGTCTTCAGCAGTAATGTTATAAAGATGTGCAAAAATGGATTGCTAACAGGTGATAATTTAAAGTTATAATATATTAAGATTAAAGATTAGGATAAAAACAAAGAGGGAAAGGATTTGCTGAACCAACTAATTGAACTGGATACAAAAAAGGGAGGTGTGAGGAGGTCTGGGGAACAAGCAAATGAAAGATAAGATACGGAAAGATTGAATTGTTTTTAACTATTTTTACTTTGTATTTTTTCTTTTTCTTTTTTCCTTTTGTAATATTTTGAAAACTTTAATAAAAATCTTTTTAAAAAATAAATAAAAACCGCTGAAAGCCGTTTGCATTAGGGCACCAGGGACTGACATTCAAAGGGGGTAAAGTAGCTCTAAGGGCTGTGTAGCTAATTTTTGAATCTGGGAAACGCAGGCCTTAACTAATTTAATTTATTTATCTATGATTGTAGCTCAAAACTATAGAAACTCTCTTGGGGAACTCAGCTAAAGTTAAGGAAGTTATCGTTCTGGGGATGATAACCCAGCTGAAAGAGGTAAGCCGGGCCGCAGCAACGGCTCTTTAGATGACTTTGCTGTTCAGTGTTCTGGTGGCGATGCACATGATTTGTGTTAAAATGTGACCAGGGGAATGGTCCAAAATATTCAACTAATATAAGCAGAAGTGTAGTTTTTTACAGTTGCATGACCTCAAGGGGAGTGTTTTGAAGCTGAATGGCTTGGCCCTAACTTATTTTATCCATATTTTTAAGGGAAAATTTTTCTTGGAAGATCCAACAGGAGTTGTCCAGCTGGACATTAGTAAAGCAATATCCTTTTACATGCATCCTAAGTAAGAAAAGAGACTGAACAGTGAGATAAACTCATATTTCCCCTTTTGCATTTCTTTGTGGACTTTCTACTTGTTTTCCCCCCCAATTCTTTTTTCCTACCTGTAGTTTAATCATTGTATAGGGTATAATAATAATAATAATAATAATAATAATAATAATAATAATTTGCTTTCTTTTTTCTTATCCAGCTGCTACAAAGTTTTCCTTTCTCCAACTCCCTTTTCGTTTTTTTCACATGTTGATTTTTAGTTGTTAACCCTGTGGACTGGGGCATTTCATTCCTGTACAGTACCTAGTCCTCACTTGTCTCCTCTGTTTCAAATGGCCAGACACTGAGTGTTGCTGCTTTTGCAGCCAAACAGCTGGAAAGGTTTAATTAAAAACATACTTCTTCCCACCCAACAGTGCTTACACAGCTGTCTTTTTGTCTTTCTAACTATCAACTTGCCATGATCGCACACAGCTGTAGTCATCATAACCGTCTTCCTGGAGATTCACCTAGAAATGGAAGTTTTCTGTTCCTGCACTTGCTACTCAGCTGACAAAAAACCCCAATATTTTTGTCTATGAGCTCTCTGCGGACCCTTCCCAATTTGCAACAGTATGAAGGCCTAAATGTTATTGTTCTGTTTTAACCAACACATGGAAAAATTTAGACTGTTGGCTTTCATGTGGAGAAATGAAGGTGCAAAGAATATTCACAGCCTTGCCTAAAGTCTGTGTTTTGAGCCACAGCTGTTCATTTGCTTTGATTAGAATAATTAGAGTCATTTCTATAGTGCTGCCTACGTAGCAAGAACATCTTCCTTAACAGTTTTGTACCAGTTCCACAGTGGCTTATACACAGAGTCATGTTTCGTTTTAACAGAAGGTAAGCCAGATAATTTTTCTTCTTCTCAAGCTTCACTCTTTTCAGTAAGGTCAGATTGTTCAGATGATATAACTACTGGCTCTGTTTGCATGATAAATCCAGGGATCTGAACAAATAAGGGTGGGTGGAGAGGAGAGAATTGTACCAGAGGATACTGCCTAGGTGTTGTTCTAAGGCTTTGAACAGAACCTATTCATGTAGAAGTTGTGTACACAATCCATACACGCCAGCAGAGTACAGATTGCATCAACAACTTATGTGTTGTTATTATTATTAATTATTATATTATTGGGGACGTGGGTGGTGCTGTAGGTTAACCACAGAGTCTAGGACTTGCCGATCAGAAGGTCGGCGGTTCGAATCCCCGCGACGGGGTGAGCTCCCGTTGCTCGGTCCCTGCTCCTGCCAACCTAGCAGTTCAAAAGCACATCAAAGTGCAAGTAGATAAATAGGTACCTTTCCGGTGGGAAGGTAAACGGTGTTTCCGTGCGCTGCTCTGGTTCGCCAGAAGCGGCTTAGTCATGCTGGCCACATGACCCGGAAGCTGTACGCCGGCTCCCTCGGCCAATAAAGCGAGATGAGCGCCGCAACCCCAGAGTTGGCCACGACTGGACCTAATGGTCAGGGGTCCCTTTACCTTTATTATATTATTATTATTAACCTGCCCTTCATCATGAGATCCCAGGGTGTGGTCTAACAATTTAAAAATGCAATATTAAAACAATTAACATGGATTATAATTCAGAGATTAGGGTGCGTCCTAAATTATCTTGGGTGCCAAAGGCACCTAGACTGGTGACTGGGAGCTGCCTCCGGGACCATATAACACCAGTCCTAAAAGATCTACAAATTTCCCATTTAAATAGATGGTAAAATCTAAGGGCTCTAAATAAATTAAAAAATACACGAGCTGTTCTTAAACATCCAGGAAAACAGAAATGTTTTTATCTGGCGCTGCAGTGAGCGTAAGCAGACCTCTATGTGGGCCTCCTTGAGTAAGACATTCCTCTAACCAGGTTATTTCTCCATGCTTCCAACTTGCTTCTTCTTGTGTGGGAATTTTCCTCTGTCCCATATGGAAAAAAACAAATTCGCTTGCGAAAAGGTACTTAGGGATCAGCTCCTTTATCGCATTTATGAATCAGTAGGCGATTAGCTTGTGGTTTTTCTGTTCGTGTATCATTTACACATTTGAGAACCTGGGAGAAAAATAATGTAAAATATGTTCAGAGAGCCTGGCGTCTTTGGTGGAGGAAGTAGCATCAATGGGAGTGATAAGTTTAAAGCATACCATGGTTTTTTTGAATTTGGAAAAAAACACACATGCTAATCTTATTTCCTAGGCTGGTATGAAGATGAAATATTTCACGTCAATGCGTTTGGCTTCCCCCCTACGGAGCCTTCTACAACAACTAGGTAAAAAACTATAAAACTATTAATTTTCATTCTGCTCCACTGTTCTGAAGGAAAATCTTAGGTGTAAAGTATACGGTTTATTTAATCTCTTGAGGAACTGATGTTGGGATGGATTTTTGTAATGTGGATTATTATCAGCAAAAATTTGCATTTCAGAAACTTTATGCAGGTGAGGGGCAGAGCGAGCTGGGTTGGGGAGTCAGTGATCAGTGCTGGAAGCTACAGACCCTCAGTTAAAGTCAAACTCTTTGCAACCAACAAGTGACAAACTGAGGAATGAGCTTAACTTCCTTCTGCAGGGGCCCTGTAGGACAGGAGCTATTCCACCTGGCTTTCAATTTTGAAACTAGCCTGATCTCGTTATTTCCCTTCCTGCCGCCCAGCCTCCCCGTGGTTTATGAAGAGTCCCCGCTCTGGGAATCCCACAGCTATCTCCCCGGGGTTCTCTGCTGGCCCAAGAGGACAGGATCACACTTCAAAACGACCTTGACAGATTAGAGAACTGGGCCCAAACAAACAAGATGAATTTTAACAGGGAGAAATGTAAAGTATTGCACTTGGGCAAAAAAAAATGAGAGGCACAAATACAAGATGGGTGACACCTGGCTTGAGAGCAGTACATGTGAAAAGGATCTAGGAGTCTTGGTTGACCACAAACTTGACATGAGCCAACAGTGTGACGCGGCAGCTAAAAAGCCAATGCAATTCTTGGCTGCATCAATAGGAGTATAGCATCTAGATCAAGGGAAGTAATAGTGCCACTGTATTCTGCTCTGGTCAGACCTCACCTGGAGTACTGTGTCCAGTTCTGGGCACCACAGTTCAAGAAGGACACTGACAAACTGGAACGTGTCCAGAGGAGGGCAACCAAAATGGTCAAAGGCCTGGAAACGATGCCTTATGAGGAACGGCTAAGGGAGCTGGGCATGTTTAGCCTGGAGAAGAGGAGGTTAAGGGGTGATATGATAGCCATGTTCAAATATATAAAAGGATGTCACATAGAGGAGGGAGAAAGGATGTTCTCTGCTGCTCCAGAGAAGCGGACACGGAGCAATGGATCCAAACTACAAGAAAGAAGATTCCACCTAAACATTAGGAAGAACTTCCTGACAGTAAGAGCTGTTTGACAGTGGAATTTGCTGCCAAGGAGTGTGGTGGAGTCTCCTTCTTTGGAGGTCTTTAAGCAGAGGCTTGACAACCATATGTCAGGAGTGCTCTGATGGTGTTTCCTGCTTGGCAGGGGGTTGGACTCGATGGCCCTTGTGGTCTCTTCCAACTCTATGATTCTATTCTATGATTCCTTCTGCAGGGCCTGTAAGACAGAGCTATTCCACCTGGCTTTCAATTTGAACTTAGCCTGATCTTTTATTCCCCTTCCTTCCCTCCCCCTCCCCTTTTTATGAAGATTCCCCATTCTGGGATCCCACAGCTAATTCTCCCCTGGTCTCCTCGCTGGCCCAAATACGACTAATTTAGCCAGCTAGCCCTGGTGATCATCTAATGTTTATTGGATGCATTTCCCCCCTAAATTGATTTTTGAATTCTGAATTTATTGTTATTCACGTTTTATACTGTATTTTATTGCATTAATTAAGTGTTTTAAATTTGTTGTTTGCCGCCCTGAGCCCGGTTTTCTGAACCGGGAAGGGCGGGGTATAAATAAATATTATTATTATTATTATTATTATTATTATTATTATTATTATTTATTATTAAATGGAGCCTTCTGGCATTTGCTGTTCATGCTGTAGGGCGTATTATGGAAACACAAACTTCTTTGGAGGGCCTTCTTCGACCTCTGTGAAATCTTCTGCGAAATTGAAACAGCTGGAAGAAGAAAATGAGGACGCCATGTTTGTGTTCCTTTCGGACGTTTGGCTGGACCAAGCAGAAGTTTTGGAGAAGCTGCGTATTATGTTTTCAGGTAGCTCTGTTGACCCATATTTGTCAACCGCTTGCTTAAAGGTTTTGGTTGAAATGTGAAGCAATATGTAAAAACAAAAAAGATGCGTGCTACCAAACCAAAAGTCAGTGACGTTCTTTGTTCCTCTAACCAGGTTACTCCTCCATGCCTCCAACCTGCTTCTTCTTCTGTGGGAACTTTTCCTCTGCCCCATACGGAAAAAACCAAATTCAGTCGCTAAAAGGTACTTTGGAGTCAGCTGCTGTATTGCATGTTGTGAATAGTTTGTGGTTTTTTCTGTTTGTGTGTTATTTAAGCATTTGAGAGACAGTTCTGTAGAGAGATCCATGGTGGGAATTTGTCATGAATGGGAGGGCTAAGGCTAATTTAAATAATAATAATAATAATAATAATAATAATAATAATAATAATAATTTTATTTATACCCCGCCCTCCCTGGCCAAGACTGGGCTCAGGGTGGCTGACACCAAATACAAAATACAGTAAAAACTTTTTTAAAACAAACAAACAGTTGATTAAAATATAGGTTAAAATACTGTTTAAAATACAGCTTAAAATGCAGCCTCGTTTTAGTGGTAGCCCATAAATCAAGATCACAAGGGGAGAAAACGTGAAATATTCACCAGGGCCAGCTATAAATAATTTTTTTTTTTTTATTATTATCCATGCTGGTCATACATGGGCCAACAAAAAGAGCCAAGGGAAAATTTATATACAAAATCCCATATAAGGGATTCCATCAAAAAATCAAAATCAAACAAACAAACAAACAAACAAACAAACAAATAAGTGACTGGTGCAAACTTGACATGCTTTGAATGAAGCTGGTGGAATGTGGTGGCAACTGAGCTGTTTCCATTATAATATAGTAGTAGTCTTTGTCCATGGAGTTTTCTTGGCAAGGATACTGGAGTGGCTTGCCGGTTCCTTCTCCAGGTGGATCACGTTTGGTCAAAACTCTCCACTATGACCTGTTCATCTTGGGTGCCCTGCTCGGCGTAGTTCATAGCTTCTCTGAGTTATTCAAGCCCCTTTGCCACGGCAAGGCAGTGATCCATGAAGGGGGGATGTTTTTGAGGTTACCAGCATGAGTTTGAGCAAACTGCGGGAGGTAGTGGAGTACAGAGGTGCCTGGCGTGCTCTGGTCCAGGGGGTCACGAAGAGGCGGACACGACTCAACGACTAAACAACAACAACAACAACAGTAGTAGTAGTAGTAATAATAATAATAATAATAATAATAATAATAATAATTTATTATTTATACCCCACCCATCTGGCTGGGCTTCCCCAGCCGCTCTGGGCGGCTTCCAACAAAATATTAAAATACAGTAATGCATCAAACATTAAAAGCTTCCCTAACCAGGGCTGCCTTCAGATGTCTTCTAAAAGTCTGGTAGTTGTTTTTTCCTTTGACATCTTGTGGGAGGGCGTTCCACAGGGCGGGCGCCACCACCAAGAAGGCCCTCTGTCTGGTTCCCTGTAACCTCACATCTTGCAGGAAGGGAACCGACAGAAGGCCCTCGGCGCTGGATCTCAATGTCCGGGTAGAACGATGGGGGTGGAAACGCTCCTTCAGGTATACTGGACCGAGGCCGTTTAGGGCTTTCAAGGTCAGCACCAACACTTTGAATTGTCCTCGGAAACGTACTGGGAGCCAGTGTAGGTCTTTCAAGACCGGTGTTATGTGGTCTTGGCAGCCGCTCCCAGTTAGAAGAGTTTACCCGTTTCAATAGTGATTGAAGCTATTGAATCACTATTGGGGTGCCACAGGGTTCTGTCTTGGGCCCGGTCTTATTCAACATCTTTATCAACGACTTGGATGATGGACTCAAGGGCATCCTGATCAAATTTGCAGATGACACCAAACTGGGAGGGGTGGCTAACACCCCAGAGGACAGGATCACACTTCAAAACGACCTTGACAGATTAGAGAACTGGGCCAAAACAAACAAGATGAACTTTAACAGGGAGAAATGTAAAGTATTGCACTTGGGCAAAAAAAACGAGAGGCACAAATACAAGATGGGTGACACCTGGCTTGAGAGCAGTACATGTGAAAAGGATCTAGGAGTCTTGGTTGACCACAAACTTGACATGAGCCAACAGTGTGACGCGGCAGCTAAGAAAGCCAATGCAATTCTGGGCTGCATCAATAGGAGTATAGCATCTAGATCAAGGGAAGTAATAGTGCCACTGTATTCTGCTCTGGTCAGACCTCACCTGGAGTACTGTGTCCAGTTCTGGGCACCACAGTTCAAGAAGGACACTGACAAACTGGAACGTGTCCAGAGGAGGGCAACCAAAATGGTCAAAGGCCTGGAAACGATGCCTTATGAGGAACGGCTAAGGGAGCTGGGCATGTTTAGCCTGGAGAAGAGGAGGTTAAGGGGTGATATGATAGCCATGTTCAAATATATAAAAGGATGTCACATAGAGGAGGGAGAAAGGTTGTTTTCTGCTGCTCCAGAGAAGCGGACACGGAGCAATGGATCCAAACTACAAGAAAGAAGATTCCACCTAAACCTTAGGAAGAACTTCCTGACAGTAAGAGCTGTTTGACAGTGGAATTTGCTGCCAAGGAGTGTGGTGGAGTCTCCTTCTTTGGAGGTCTTTAAGCAGAGGCTTGACAACCATATGTCAGGAGTGCTCTGATGGTGTTTCCTGCTTGGCAGGGGGTTGGACTCCATGGCCCTTGTGGTCTCTTCCAACTCTAGGATTCTATGATTCTATGAAGCGGGAGGGCAACATATGGCAGCAGGCTCATATCCTAGAGAATGCCATGTTTATTAGAATATGCAGAGCCCCACCCCCCTTACTAGGGTTCTCAGTGTGGCTTCTCACCCAGAAGTGGCTGAAATGGAACTACAGTTTTGCCCACCTATAATTGATATCTCAATTTAAACTTGCTTAGCTTCAGTAATAAAAATACTTGCCTTAGTGATCTTGGCATTGTGAGAAACAGCTTCCACAAAGCCATTTACAATATAACCAACTGGTTTAGTTACTTAAGGTGGGGGGGAAATAAGAGGTGTTCTGCGTAACTGCTGTCCAGCTGTCGATGTAAGATGCATATTGGTTACCTGGGGATAAGATGAGAAAATGTAGGAATAACTATGCAGTTTCATAGGAAAGCTTTTATGGTTGTACCTTTAGGTTCACTGAAAGCCCTTGCAAATATCATCTGTGAATACCCCAGTATCCATAAGAGGTATGTGCTCTGTTTTTATTTGCTTGGTGAAAAATCTTACTGAAGAAGATGTTCTTCAGATTTGTCAGTTAGAGAAAACATTCCACCCTGCAGAATTTAGTCCCCCTTAAAGAAAGAAAGAAAAACTGGGTCCATTCACACCAAGTATTGTATTCAGAATTTTGATAACAGCTACTAAAAAGTTCATTCTCCTTTGTTCAGCCACACATAAATATTTTGTTGTTGTTGGCAACCTGTCTGTCTTGGGAGACAATGGGGACTGTCCTTTGTTAGCTAGAAACTCCTAGGTAAAGTGTAAAGGGGACCCCTGACCATTAGGTCCAGTCGTGGCCGACTCTGGGGTTGCGGCGCTCATCTTGCTTTATTGGCCGAGGGAGCACGCGTACAGCTTCCGGGTCATGTGGCCACCATGACTAAGCCGCTTCTGGCGAACCAGAGCAGCGCACGGAAATGCAGTTTACCTTCCCGCCGGAGCTCAACCCGTCGCAGGGATTCGAACCGCCGACCTTCTGATCGGCAAGTCCAAGGCTCTGGGGTTTAACCCACAGCGCCACCTGCATCCCTAGGTAGCTTCAAAATCCCCAAAAAGCCTTTCATTCACCTGTCATAACTGGAGGTTTATGTGGCCTGCCATCCACTTCTAAAACTCTGGTTGTATTTGAGTAATGTTGCCATTTACTTTACTGATGCTTTGATTTTTACCTATCAGTTATGTTAAATGTAGTATATGTATTCAACTATTTATAGCAGTCGATTTGTGTTTGTTCCTGGCTCTGAAGACCCTGGCCCAGGCTCAATTTTGCCAAGGTATGCTTGTGACTTGACAATTAAGGTGATTCATTCAAACATCCAACTTTGAGAATACACACAATTATTTCTAATACATACCACACAAATTTATTTCAGGCCACCACTTCCTGAAAACATTACTGAAGAGTTCAAACAGCAGGTGCCATTTTCAGTCTTCACTACAAACCCTTGCAGGTATATGTCCCAATTTAAAAGGGATGTTTTAAATTGAGACCTTTAATATGTGTCGGATTAATAGTACACATAATGCTACATATTTGTGTAGGGTTAATACTCTGGGTATCCGGGGAGAAGTCTGTGTGTGTTTCTGCCTTGCTGATGGTCTCTCCTGGATGCCTGTTTAATCACCCTGAAAAAATAAAATTGCGCTTCTTCCTTCCAGAGTCCAGTATTGCACTCAGGAAATAATAATCTTTAGAGAAGACCTGGTAAATAAGATGTGCCGGAACTGTGTCCGTTTTCCTAACAGCAACTTGGATATTTCTAATCACGTAAGGCAAAAAAAGCATGAAACATTTGAGGATAAGCTTCTGCTGGTTAGGTCGTTACTATTATTCTAGCATGGTTATTTTTAGTAATAAAGTAAGAAATTGAGGAAGAGATCCCGTGTGATGTGATCAGGCACCTGCTTCTCATTCCTTTCCTTACCTCTGCGTCTCCCTCGCCTCCAGCTGCTCTGAAGGGTGGGGAGGAAGCAGATTTGGAGGATATGGGGAGGGCTGGAGAGGGAAGAAGAGAAAACTGAACTCCTTACAGTATATGCAAGCAGATTTCTTTATTGCTTTTATTTTTTATTCAACTCCTATACCACCCTTCACCCAAGGATCACAGGGCCGTTTTAAATAAATGGGCTGTGCAAGTGGACTGCCGCATTTTGATCTCACCCAGAGAAAACCATCTAATAATGTTAATAATAATTTATTTATTTATACCCTGCCCATCTGGCTGGGTTTTCCCAGTCAATCTGGGCAGCTTCCAACAAAGATTAAAAATACATTAAAATGTCACACATTAAAAACTTCCCTGAACAGGGCTGTCTTCAGATGTCTTCTAAAAGTCTGGTAGTTGTTTGTCTCTTTGACATCTGGTGGGAGGGCGTTCCACAGGGCGGGCGCCACCACCGAGAAGGCTCTCTGCCTGGTTCCCTGTAACTTGGCTTCTCGCAGTGAGGGAACCGCCAGAAGGCCCTCGGTGCTGGACCTCAGCGTCCGGGCAGAACGATGAGGGTGGAGACGCTCCTTCAGGTATACTGGACCGAGGCCGTTTGTGTCTGATTACCAGCAGAGTGGACTCCCACTTGTACTCTGGGTGATATTCAACACTGTGCAAGCAAATATCTGCTCCAACAATGAGAATTTCCCTTCTCCGCTGCCCCCCACATGCCCTCCCAAATCTGCCGGGGCAGGAGCAGAAGGGGAACTTTGGGTGTCCTGAAGAATGCAGTATGTTTAAAGTAGCCGCCTTATTTTAATCTTTGCACACCCGAAATTATTTTCTGTTCCAGTGCATTTCTGTGCAAATAATATGGGACACGTATACAAGAGTTCTACCGAGGGAGTAGTAGTCTTCATTGAAAAGAGAGAGAGGTGCTGAAATTTCAACTCCTTTCTTCTGCATATACCGTAGAAACTTTTTAATATACCGGTAGCTAATGGAATGTGTGGATGGATTCTGATGACTAAATGGGATTCCAAATGGTTCATCTTCCATACAAGAGGCCTTGCAGCTGCTCTGCTCTGCTTTGGAAAAGTATAGCTTCCCCAAAGCATGGTCCTCAGAGATTACTTCAGATGCTGTTGGTAGCATGGGAATTTCATTGGGCCACAGTAGTGTTCCCCAGGGACGCGGGTGGCACTGTGGTCTAAACCACTGAGCCTAGGGTTTGCCGATCAGAAGGTCGGCGGTTCGAATCCCAGCGACGGGGTGAGCTTCTGTTGCTCGGTCCCAGCTCCTGCCAACCTAGCAGTTCAAAAGCACACCAGTGCAAGTAGATAAATAGGTACCGCTCCGGTGGGAAGGTAAACGGCATTTCCGTGCACTGCTCTGGTTCGCCAGAAGTGGCTTAGTCATGCTAGCCACATGACCCGGAAGCTGTATGCCGGCTCCCTTGGCCAATAAAGCGAGATGAGCGCCGCAACCCCAGAGTTGGCCACGACTGGACCTAATGGTCAGGGGTTTCTTTACCTTTACCTTAGTGTTCCCCAAGTCACCGCACAACCCTGCAAGACTGCAGAGATTTGAATGAATCTCAGTTCTGACTTAGTTTACCAGATTTAGAACTCAAAATGAAGCATATAGTGCTCTTTTTAACATGTGCTAATCATCAGGAAAGGATGATTTTGTGATTTATATAGGAGTTTGAAAAACAGGATTTTGCTTTCAAATGGAAACCAAAGTAATTTGTGTGCCCTTGTTCTTTGCCTTGCAGTTTGTAAAGACTATTTTATCACAAGGGCATCTGACTCCATTGCCTCTTAATGTTAGTCCTGTCTACTGGTCTTATGACTATACATTGAGAACCTACCCTCTGCCGGATCTCATTGTCTTTGCTGACAAATATGACCCGTTCACTGTGACCAACACTGATTGCCTCTGCATAAATCCCGTAAGATCCTATCTCTCTATCCACCCTTTCCTTCCTTCTGTAAGCATGATGAAAAACCGTCTCTAGTAAGAAAAAAAAATGTGTTTAATGTATTGTTAGTACACATTCTTAGTTGGGATTGTTCCTACTTAGCACTGCTCATTCTGAACTAAACATTTATTTAGTTTTTCCAAAACAAAAAAATGGCAAGTTAACTGAAAGTTATTGTACCTGAGTTTCCATTCCTTCCTTCCATTATTATTCTTAAATTAAATGCTGCCAGGTGCTGGTGACTAGTACTTACTCTTATGCAAGCAGCGCACTGTTGTGTTAATGTGGAGTTTCAGATTCTACTTTAGTCTGGTGCTAGAACAATGTGTCTTTGAAAAGAGTGGCGTGGATCAGCCTCTTGGAGGTGTCCCCATAAAGCTGAACAAATTGGAGATGCCTTGTGTTACAGGGAAAGCTACTGGTTTAGCCTTTCCAGAATCTAAATTACCGTATTTTTTGCTGTATAAGACTCACTTTTTCCCTCAGGGGAAACGTGTGTGCGTCTTATGGAGCGAATGCAGGCTGCGCAGCTATCCCAGAAGCCAGAACAGCAAGAGGGATCGCTGCATAGCGATCCCTCTTGCTGTTCTGGCTTCTGGGATTCAGAATACTTTTTTTCTTGTTTTCCTCCTCCAAAAACTAGGTGCATCTTATGGTCTGGTGTGTCTTATAGAGCGAAAAATACGGGTAGGTCCTTTTAGAAAGATCCAGGCAGGTACGCAATTGGCGTTTCAAAACAAAAGGCAAGTGTAGAGAGTTCCTGGGACATCCTACACAAGGTCAGGCGATAGACCAGCCATGGGGCATTTCCTGCTCATTAAATCTATTTTATCACGGTTCTATTGCCACAGCAACAAGAACACAGGAAGCTGGTTTTACATTGAGTCAGATTTGGTCTGTGTTGTCCATGTTGACTATCAGTGGCTCTCTAGGTTTCAGATGGGATATTCCCAAGCCTTTATAGAGATGCAGAGGACTGAACCTTCTGCATGCAAAGTAGATGATGTACCGCTGAGCTACAGCCCTTCAGAAGTTCTTAAGAAATCCAAATGACGAGCTTTGAAAACTAAAATCCTTTCTTACCCCCTCATTCCAGGGATCTTTCCCAAGAAGTGGCTTTTCATTCAAAGTATTCTACCCATCTAACAAAACAGTGGAGGACAGGTAAGGTCTTGTTTTTTCATATCAAATAGTAAGTGTGAGAGATGTTTTGACCCCCTGCTTTTACAATACAAATATCACTGTTATTTGGGCTGCTGTTGTAAACTCTTTGTTTGGTGGAACAAAGAGTTTGGTGTTTGACTAGGATAAAAATAAACTGTTCAATATATAAATCATGACTACAGAGAGCCTGCAACTTAGGCACATTTAATTTGTGCGTATTCAGCTTTATGTGCTTGGCAAAAAAAAAAGTAAAAAATTAAGAAGTGGACGGACGTTTGGGTAAGAAGGCTTTGGCAATCCCCGCCCCCCCCCCATTGAACCTAGTGTGTCTTAACTATATGAGATTTTGGCTTTTGGTGCATTCCACAGAATGTAGCCCCTGCATGAGTTGCGGGCTTACTGTACTCACAAGGAAAAATCCATACCCAAGAATTTCAGCCCCATAGCACCATAGTGGCTAACAAGGTGTCTGAATATAAGGGTTTTTAATACTATTCAAAGGAAGATTGAGATTCAGACAAACCTTTCCAGGGAGGGAATTATGAAGCTTGTCTACCCTCTATATACCAAAAGGAAATTACCCAAGAATGTGCCCCCCACTCTGCTATTTTGCTCTGCAGAACTTGTGCTCTTGCAAGTGCCACGTCATGCTTGAGAACCCATTCTTGAGAACTTCCTGCCCATTAATATTTCGCAGGTGCCTTCAGTGAATTGTTCTCCATGCCTGCTAAGAACTTTCTTTTGGCAAGCCCTGCCTAGGCATATAATTCTAGCATTTCAGTTTAACAGGAGTACGTTAGCTGTTCACCAGTTTTAAGTCTGTTTTAAACTTTCATGTCACCTGCTTTTAATACTTGTTTTCTGTTGGTGTTTTTGGTATTTTAACTGTTTTGTTGTTAGACTGCTTTGGGGGCTTTTTTTTTTTTTTTTGTTCTGGTAAGTGGTAAATACAGTCTTGTTAAATAGAAACAAATAAATCTCAGTTCCTGTTTTGGAACTCTTGCCCTTGGGTAACAACATGAATTTGGACCAGTCTGCCTTGTGAATACATCTGTGTAGAATTCTCAGTGGTGCATTTGGTTGAGCACTTTTAGTAAGAGGTTTTTCATTCACATGTTTTTATTCACAGAATGTAGGCTATAAAAGATGAATATAAAATATAGTCTATGTAAAATGTAGATACAAGATATATTAGAATATAAAAGACTGACACCCTATCTAGTGCACTTAGTTAAGAGTGGGCATTACAAAATTTGTATTCCCCCCCCCCCATCTTCCCACATATTTGTAACACAACCCTGAAACCTTATTCTGCGTAACTGGCAGTTATTCTCTTAGGTACATTTGTGATTTTCAGACCAAGCTATGGCTTTTAAAACCTTTCCTTTATAACTAAGCTAGTAAACTTTCAGCGACCCCAGCCATCTGGAAGACAGCCAAGCTGAGTTTTAAGGGAATTAAATATGGAAGCATTAAGACTCAGCGATCAGAGGCAATCTCGGTAGCCTTCCGTGTGAAGTGTAAAGGGTTCCTTTTTGTTGTTGTATTAAACAGAACTTAATCCTCAGGGCCTGGGACAAAGCATTACAAATCTGTGTGAAGCGGGCTCTTTGTGTCCCCCATCAAGTGCACTAATCTTGGATCTAGAATATTCACGTAACTTTAATCAAATGCGAGGGTTTAATTCTATGTAACCATAGGAACAGAGATATCTTAGTATGGCAAACTCCTTTGAAGTTGCTAGTGCTTATTTTACAAACTTTTAAAAAGCAAGCATTAAGGCCGAAGAAAGAAGGTAAGAAGTTAAGTTTCAAGAAGCACCAATGTAGTTATAGTAACTTGGTTTTTTTCCCTTCCCCCCAGCAAACTTCAAGATATTTGAATCTCAGGAAATAGCAGTAGATCAAGTATTCTGACCTTAATACCATGGAAGCACTACTTCTGGAATCATGGATTTTATTATATGCTGCTGTTACAGATATTGAACGTCTTGTAAATAAACTTTCAAGCAATGGATGGAACAGGCTTGTGGCATACTTGAAACAGTGATGGCGCAATGGCCCAAGAACTTTTTCTCTTAAGTGATTTTTATTCAGACAAAAAAAATTGTGGCTGGATTCTGACTTGAGAAATGTGTGCCCTTTTGCCTTCTGCTGCCATAACAGTTCAACTATTTGTGGATGGCTTTTCTGAATTTGGGGGGATGGGGGAACCTCTCCAAAGGGGCTTGAGAACCTTCCAATACATGAAACATCAGTTCTAAGCAGACAAATGCTCATTTTACATTATCCAAAACTGGGGTCTCTTAACAACTGAAGGGGATTGGCGTTATATCATGGTCCTATCTAACCACAAACTGGCTGAAATATTTAGCATAGCAGGTTTTGGAACTTTGCTGTGGATGGATGTGCGGAGCTCCCATTTATTAGGCAGTTGCTAAGACTAACTCTCCTGTGCCTATTCTGCTGAAAGCTCTTCTATAATGTGGAACAATCACAGTTCTCCCTACAGCTGCAAGAAGCCCCACACCAAACCCTGTTGGTTTATTGCATTAATATCCTGCCTGCCAGTCTTCCATTATACCAGACACAGCATACGTATCCTTGAGGCAGTCTACCATCCAGACATCGATCACTTCCGCAAAGTTGCTACTGTATGTATCTTCAACCCACATCCCAGTCCTGAGAATACACACCAGCAACAGCACTTCAGGCTAGTTTTCAGAATACACAGTGACTGATAATGGGATTATAACTTCTGAATTTACACAGCCTCATCAAAACAAGGTAGCCAAGACTGATAGCATAAGAAACAAGATGTTCTCTCACGTTTCTAGGACCTATGCAGCTAATGTACTGGTTCATGTAGCATATCAAAAGGTATGTTCTAGCATAAGAAAGAAGATTTGGTGGGGAGTATTACTCAGGTTGTGCGCAACTGATGGATGGGACTTGATACTTTTTAAAGCTTAAGTGTGTGCCCTTTTAAAAAATAACTAAGTGGGGCTTCCTGTTCCCAGCGGTGGAAAATGGCAGATCCCACACGATCGGACCTCAGCCGTTCCGATAATTCAGGGCTGATATGGGGGTAATTAGCCCTGGCAGCCTCCCCAGGGCAGGGGAGGACTGTCTCAACGACCCACGGTTTGCCCCAGATTCCCAATGTCGCAGACGGCAGGGGCACTGGGTCACGGAGCAAGGGACGGACTGACACTCCTTCAACGCCACCCCATAGCCGGACGCATCTGTTTGGGAAAATATAAAGATTTGAAAAACAAACAGACACGCTCTGAACTGACAAAGCTGGGGGGGAAACCTGTGGTATGTACAGTCTTTGGTGCAAAAGATCGAACTTCAAAGAGACCCTCATCATGACTTTTGGAATTTGGAGGGGCTTGGTATGTTTTTTTCTACTTCCTTTAACAATCCATATTGCATGCCAAGTCTCATTAAGAACCTAAATTGTTCTTCAAAAAGTGAGTACAGATGGACTTTCATGTATAATTGGGACCTATTCGCAGCTGCTTTTCTTCTAAGATTTGAAATGCTTGATAAAGACGAAAACAAAAAGGCTTCTACCCACCACGCACTTACGGAATACCTGAAATACTTCCCTGATTAAGAGAAACAGGAGCTAACTGATGGTTGGTCATAAAGACTGGAAACAATATTATATATACAACTGTTTGTAAAAAGGAAGTTTTTTATTATGAGCGAGAGAGAGGGCTAAATGGATGTCTGGCAGCCCCCCTCTAGGGCCCGGAGGGGGGATTAGATTGGGTGGATTCCAAAGGCTAATTGTTAACTGTCTGATATGTCTGCTCAAGAATAAATCAGCAAGGAATTTCAGAAGGAGGTTTCTCTCTGTTTCTTTGATAACACCTGGAGGGGAAAGATTAACGATCTGGGAGCTGCCAAAATAACAACTCTCAAAGAGCTGGACAGAACTCTGGAATTGGATGCAATTAAAGAAGCGGTGCGATGAAAAAACAAAAACAGCTGAAAGAGTACAATATATGGACAAATCTACATTCCACAGGAAAAAAAGTATGTGTTTTCTGACATGAATGAGGATCGCAGAACCAGAGTCAAAACGTGGAGGAAAAGATCGGATATGGAATTATGGAAAAACATCGATGATGAGAGGCAGGACTATGATGTTGAAAGCGCTTCAGAATTCAGACCGTGGGAAGCCAAAACCAAAATTATCACAATTTGGAAGACAATTGGACTTTTTTTATTTTAGTTTTTTATTGGATTGGATTTGATATGTTAATTAGATGTTCTTATTGGAAAATTAATAAATGCTTTTAAAAAAAACAACTGTGAAGAGAGTTCACTGAAATGTGTGGGCTTGTTCACCTTTTTTTGGATGATTTTATTTATTTTTCATGGTACAGAAGATACATTTTGAGAAAACAATTGCTACAGCAGTAAACAACAAAGTTGTCCTGCTAGAATTACAGACTTTTGTCATGCTGTGTGATAAAGTTTCATTCGATTCCTCTAAGAGATCACACCACATTTTCCCATGAGTGTTGGGTAGATTCCTGCCACAGTCTGAACAATTTATGTATTCACTAAACATTTGCCATATGTTATAAAAGGAATGGGGATTGTGTTTGCCCTTTGCTGCTCTGACCTGACGTGTTAGTTTCTCAGCCAATGCTATTGACCATACTATGGTATACCAAGAATCAGTGTTCAGCCCAACACCAGTTTTCCAACAGAGGTCAATAGAAAGGCTAAGATGTCATCATTGGGGTAATCTTGAGCAGGTGGGATCCTAAGCCCAAGTAGTGTTAGTGCACAAGTACAGTTGTTTTGTACATCAAGTTTATTTCTTTGAATACAGCACTCCAGAAAGATTTGATGAGGTCACACCACCACAACATATGGAAATGTGTACCTATGGCTTGTTCACCATTTTTTATATATATATAATTTATATTTTCTGTTTTACAATTTAAAATAAACATTTTACAAAGTTTGAATGAACTTTATTACAGTCATAGACCAGGATTAAGAAAAGCATATACATAAAATAGCAGTTGGGATTTTTGACTGATAATTGTTAGGGCAAAAGAGGACAAGGAAACAGGCATAAAACATCCGAAAAAAATACAAGATTAAACACAGATAATGGGTGGATAAAAACTAATAATTAAAACAGATAAGAGCTAAAAACCAACAAAGACACACAGTTAAAACAACTAAGTTTATAATGTCCAGTTACTTCCCTTCTTCTCTTTCCATGGTTCATTTTACATATCCTACCATTTTTAGTCATCTTGTTTCTTTATGGAACCAGCATTGATGGCAGCTACCAATCCTACCCTCTGCATTTGTTACTCCAAATGCTTCCGTGTCTTTTTACTAAAATAGTGTCTTTATACTAAAAACCAAGCATGAGCAACATGCCATTGTGACCAGTTAAGGAAGTCTGTAGCCCTGAAGTTCATGCCCAGGAGCTGTTGCTCTTTTCATCTTACAAGGCAATTTCATTAGTCTCAAAGGATAGCGGGAGTAAAATTAAAATAATTGGTTTAGCTCTTGCTGCTACACTTCTGAATTAAACTGCGTACTGCTGAAAGTTCAAACCCATTTGACTTTCCATTAATACCTTACACGTGCTTTAGCAATTCATGCCCTCTGTCGTTCTCCGTGAAGAAACCTTGTGGGAAGTACTTTTGTTCACAGTGGAAGTCTGAATGACTTTAAAATGTTAATGACCAGGAAGGCTGCTCTTGATACATGAGCTTTGTAGGAGATGGGGGAATAACGGTGGTTGCATCTAAAACTTCCTTGCAAGCATTTTCCTCTGGAGAAGGGCCTTGCTGCGGAATCACATTCACCCAGTGCTATACCAGCTGCACTGGCTCCCAGTGGAGTACAGGATCAGGTTTAAGGTGCTGGTTTTAACCTTCAAAGCCCTATACAGCCTAGGACCCTCGTACCTGCGGGACCGCCTCTCCTGGTATGCCCCACGGAGGACCTTACAGTCTGCAAACAACACTGAAGATCCTGGGCCCCAGGGAAATCAGACTGGCCTCGACCAGAGCCAGGGCCTTTTTGGCCGTGGCCCCAGTCTGATGGAACGCTCTCCCACAAGAGACTAGGGCCCTGTGGGATTTGACATCTTTCAACAGGGCCTGCAAGACGGAGCTGTTCTGCAAGGCCTTTGGCCACGGGGCCAGTCTGACCTATTTTTCTTTGCATAAGAACAAGCATGAAGGAAGCCTCCCAGCCCGTTCACAGGTTCTTATATGATCAGTGAAAACAGTTGGTCCTGGCAAGTATTAACTGCTCTCAATCTTCACCTGATAACTGCCATTTGTCCAGATTTTAATTTGTCTGAATTAATTTTAAGATGTATTTTAATTGATTCCTGTTTTTATGTATACTGTGTTATTTGTATGATGTTAGCCGCTCTGTAACCCCATAGTCGCCTTTGACTGGACTTAACCGTCCAGGGATCCTTTACCTTTGCTTATTGGGTAATCCTGCACTGCAGCAACCTCAGTACCATGGACCCCAAACCTCCCCACTACGCATCCCAGAAAGCGATGCCCACCCTTCCCCTCTGCACATGGCCAGAGTTTCCAAAGTACATTGTGGACTATGCCATTCTGGGCGCTGCAGGAGGAAAGGAAGCGGCAAGGTTTTGACTGCCAGCCAGGCAGCATCCTGCTTTTCTCCCAGCAGATTTATGCTTAAGGATTCGCTATGGTTAGGTTTCTTTTTAAAGAAAAAACCCAACACACACTTGCTGTTTCAGAAATGGTTTTCAACTGAAGATAGAACTGTACCTTTAGTTTTAGCAGGTTAGCAAAGGGCTTCGCCTGCGGTTTTTATTAAGCTGCTGGGGAAACCTGAGTGTTCATTCTGGTTTATTTGAACAGAGGAGCCTGCAGGATCAGGCCAGAGGTTGCCATTAATTTGATCTGAACTGATTTTATAATGAACTGATTTTAGAATGTTGTATTATTTTACTGTTGTTAGCCGCTCTGAGCCCGGCTTCTGCTGGGGAGGGCGGGATATAAATAATAATAATAATAATAATTATTATTATTATTATTATTATTATTATTATTATTATTATTGCTGGGGAGGGCGGGATATAAATAAATTATTATTATTATTGCTGGGGAGGGCGGGATATAAATAAATTATTATTATTATTGCTGGGGAGGGCGGGATATAAATAAATTATTATTATTATTATTATTATTATTATTATTATTATTATTATTGCTGGCGAGGGCGGGATATAAATAAATTATTATTATTATTATTAATATTAAATGCAAGAGAAAACTTTTGTCCAGTGCCTTTTAGCTACTCAGGGCGGGAAGTCCCATTTGCAGCGCTTTGCCCCATCACCCGCTCCGATTCTGCCTCTTGACCTGACATACCCTATCTGAAAGGCAACGACCATCAACTTGGGGGGCAGCCCCCTCAAATATTTTATTGGGGGAAGAGGAAGGGACATTGGCTCCCACGATCTGGCAGCTCCTCCCCAGTTCCCCGCCTCTGCCAGGAAGGACAGCGAGACGGGGAACGGAAACTCCTCTCTTTCACACTTCCTTTCCGGTCTAGGATCGGAAGCTCCATTACCGCTATTAACCCTTTCAGGACGAAGCGGCAGGAACCTCCGGGCCGCTCGGACAGACGTAAGAGACACTTGCGGGGTGCGCGTCACCCCCAAATATCTCATTGGGCGGTGCGAAAATACCTGGCACCTAGGTCGGTAACGCTTCTACAGCGACTGCGGCCTCCGCCATCCCGGCTGAGCGGACGCCGCCATTTTGCTTGCCGCCGTCTCCACGGCGACGGGCCTCGCCGCCGCCATTTTGCCGGGGTCGTTCCTATAGCAACGGCGGCCTCCGCCATTTTGCCGGGGTCGTTTCTATAGCAACGGCGGCCTCCACTATCCCCGCCGCCATTTTGCCGAGGTTATTTCTATAGCAACGGCAGCCTCCGCCATTTTGCCGGGGTCGTTCCTATAGCAACGGCGGCCTCGGCCATTTTGCCGGCCCCCGTCTCCATAGCGACGGGCCTCGCCGCCGCCATCTTGTTAGGGTGGCTTCCATAGCAACGGCCGCGCTTCGTCCTCCTCCTCCTCCATCCCCGGTGGCTTCCCGAGGGCCGGCGGCATGGCGGTCCGCTCGAGCCTGGAAGCCCTGGAGCTGACGGGGGACGAGGTGGAGCGGCTGAGCAAGGCCTTCCAGGACGAGGGCTTCCGCAAGCTCTTCGCCGACTACGCGGCCGAGCTGAGCGACCCGGCGCAGCGGGCCGTCTACGAGGCGGAGGTGTCGGCCCTGGAGCGGCAGCGGGGCGTCGAGGCGCGCTTCCTGCACCCGCAGCCCGGCTGGGTGCTGCGGACCAGCCAGGCCGGCTCCCGCCGCTGCTACGTCAACGTCTGCGGCAACGCGCTGGTGGCCCGGCCCGAGGCCAGGCCGGAGCCCGGGGGCAGCCGCTGGACGCTGCCCCACTGCCTGGCGCCGGCCCGGGAGGAGCTGGGCAGCCGGCGCCGGCCCGGGGAGCCCCGAGGCCCGCCGCGCCTGGTCTACGACGTGCTCTTCCACCCGGACGCGCTCCGCCTGGCCGCCCGCTCGGCCCGCTTCCGCCGCCTGGTCAGCGACACGGCCCTGGAGGCGCTGGAGAGCCACTTCGCGCCCGGCCTGGACCGCGCCAACGCCGCGCCGCTCCGGGGCGTCAAGTACAAGGGAGTCCCGCAGGCCACGCTGCTCCGGACGCCGCTGCCCGGCGCCGCCCCGGAGGGAACCGGGGAGGAAGAGAGCCCCTCGCCGCCGCTGCCGCCCTTCCCCACGCCCTACGCCTACCCGCCTCGCCCGGCCCAGCCCCCGAGGCCGGCGCCCCAGCCCGCCCCGGCGGCCACCACGCCGCGCTGGAGCCTCCGGCAGCGCTCCTACGTGGACCTGCAGGACTACCGCTGCTGCCGCGACTCGGCGCCCAGCCCGGTGCCCCGCGAGCTGGTGGTGACGGTGGAGCTGCCCTGCCTGGGCTCGGCCGCCCAGGCGGAGCTGGAGGTCCGCGGGCGGGAGCTGCGGCTCGAGTCGCGGCGCCCCGCCGCCTACAGCCTGCGCCTGCCGCTGCCCTACGCCGTGGACGAGGCCGCCGGCAAGGCCACCTTCAACAAGGCCAAGAGGCAGCTGGTGGTCGTGCTGCCCGTCCTGCCGCCGGCCGGGCAAGAGCAGGGGAGCCCCGGCTGCGGAGTGCAAGGCCGGCCGGAGGAAGAAGAAGAAGGAAGGGAGGAAGAGGAGGAGCCGCCGCCGCCGCCGCTTTCGGAAACCGGAGGCTCGGCTGAACCGCAGCCGGGCTGCGCCCCGATCCAAGCCGCGAACAACGCGGAGCAAACGTCCCTAGCCGCCCACGTGGAGGCGAGGCCGGGATGCGCCGCGGAAAGCGCTCCGGCCGCTCCCGAGCCCGGCCTCTCCACGTGTCCGGGTCACAACGATTCCGACGATCCTCGGAGCCCCGCGGCCAGCAGCCCGGAATATCCCGCGGAAAGCGACCCGGCGGCTGACACGCGTCCGACCGTCCCGACGTGCGGCGGTACGGGTTTGCCTGCTGCGCCGCGTGAAGATCCGTGCGTGGACAGCACCGTGGAGCTACCCGGCCCTGTTGCGGGAGTAAGTCAGGGGCTCCTCTGCGCCGACATGGATCTGAACGAAAGCACCCGTGTCACCAGCGACGTGGTGCCCTCCTCGTGCCCCGGTGGCATCCTGGCTCCTCCACGTGTGTCCTGCTGTGAGGCCTGGATCATTCCGTGGCAACTCTGTCAGGTCCGGACTGCTCTACTGTAGATGAGGATCCGATGCCCTCGACAAGAAGCGAGCTTTCCTGCGCCACCAGGGTGTCCCAGTACCACTAGCATCGTGCAGATCTCTGCACCCTGCCTCTCTGGGTCCTGCAAACATAACCTCTGGTTCTCCTCTGCCGCCCACGGAGGGCTCCCGCCGTTGATCCAGATTCTGCCAAAAGCCCTGCTAGCTGCCTTGACTCTCCAGTGCCCCCTGCAAGCCCAGCCACCCGGTGTCCCCCTTTCCAGTGCACTCAGATGAAAACTCTCTGAGGCTGATCTTGCAGGTGCCAGGCATTGCTCCCCAGAGCCTCAGGGGGGAAGTAGGAACAAATTGCTACAGAGTTAGTTTTGCCAGCAAAGACTTTGTTTCTTATACATTCCTCTTGCAGTTTCCTCCAGAAAATAGACTGAGTCCCCCTGAGTTTGGACTTGATGTGTCCCCTGATAATGCTGTTATTTCCCTCACCAAGTCTCTCGAGACCACTGGACTTTGGAGAAAGATGTATTTTGGCCCAAATGGTGATTCCTTGCAGGTAAAACTACATTTCATATTACTCTCACCCTCAGGGTGTAGCAGAATCAAGAATATATTTCTGAGGCCCTTATTTCATTTTTATTCTGCTCTTCTTGTGCTTGGGGCATTACGGACTCACTTGTTATCCTATAAATTTATTCTCACAGCTACACTTTGAAGTTATGCTGAGACTAATAATGTGATAGGCCCCACATCACCAGTGACCCTCATGGCTGAGCAGGATTTGAATGTGGGTCTCCAAAACTTTCCCACTAGGCTCCTTGCTAAATGTGTGAGCAACAGAAAGGCGTCTGGGTTCACACAGTGCATAGTTAAACGATGGAATGGATGGCCAACAATTTGGATAGCATTAATAGGAGACTAGACAAATATGTGGAGTATAAGGCTATTTCTTATGCCCATTGCCAAGGCAGTGATAAGGAGTGCTGTTGTGCTCATGTTTTGCTGCTGGGCTTCCCTGAGGCATCTTGTTGACCACTGTGGACAGCAGGATGCTGGACTCGATGAGTCTTTGACCTGATCCAGCAAGGTGGTTCTTCCATTCTTAGGATTTGTGGGAGTAGTAAAGCCCTTTAAAGCCATAAACGGCCTCGGTCCTGTATACCTGAAGGAGCATCTCCACCCCCATCGTTCTGCCCGGACACTGAGGTCCAGCGCTGAGGGCCTTCTGGTGGTTCCCTTGCTGCGAGAAGCCAAGTTACAGGGAATGAGGCAGAGGGCCTTCTCGGTGGTAGTGCCTGCCCTGTGGAATGCCTTCCCAGCAGATGTCAAGGCAATAAACAACTATTTTACTTTTAAAAGACAACTGAAAGCGGCCCTGTTTAGGGAAGTTTTTAATGTCCAATGCTGTATTGTTTTTAATGTTCAGTTCAGAAGCCGCCCAGAGTGGCTGGGGAAACCCAGCCAGATGGGCGGGTAGAAATAATAATTTATTATTATTATTATTATTAAAGCAAGTGAGGCCCCAGTTAGTCCTTTACCTGAAGGCCAACTAGATGCATGTGATGTTAAGCTGAAGTGCTGTGGTTGTTTTCTTATTGCCCATAGCTATTGGGGTGTTGGGAACATTTTCCTTCCCTACCACAGTGATGAAAAGAAAATAACCTCCATAGTAAGTAGTGACTGTTACGTACACCCTTTTAGTATGGCAACCCACTGCTCTCTTCCCATTCTCCTTGCCTCCGAAGGCTTGAGAAGGACCTCTGAGGATGGTTGGCAGTAGTTGAGTAGGCTTGTAGGAGAGAGAGAAAAAGTCATTCAGGAACCTAAGTCCCAAACTGTTCAGGGCTTTGCCTCAAGATTGCACCTGACCTCCTTTGGGCTGAACTGGAGAAGGCGCTGTCAAAACACAAGCACCTCATAGCACTGAAGTGAATAGTGTGTGCCTAACCCTACACAGTAGAACTTGTCCCTGAACTTGCTTTGCTACTTGTTTAGTTTTGTTGTTTAGTCGTTTAGTCGGGTCTGCCTCTTCGTGACCTCCTGGACCAGAGCACACCAGGCACTTCTGTCTTCCACTGCCTCCCGCAGTTTGGTCAAACTCATGTTGGTAGCTTCGAGAACACTGTCCCACCATCTCGTCCTCTGTCGTCCCCTTCTCCTTGTGCCCTCCATCTTCCCCAACATCAGGGTCTTTTCCAGGGAGTCTTCTCTTCTCAGGAGATGGCCAAAGTCTTGGAGCCTCAGTTTCAGGATCTGTCCTTCCAGTGAGCACTCAGGGCTGATTTCCTTCAGAATGGAGAAGTTTGATCTTCTTGCAGTCCATGGGACTCTCAAGAATCTCCTCCAGCACCAGAATTCAAAAGCATCCATTCTTCGGCGATCAGCCTTCTATTTATGGTCCAACTCTCACTTCCATACATCACTACTAGGAAAACCATAGCTTGAACTATACAGACCTTTGTTGGCAAGGTGATGTCTCTGCTTTTTAAGATTCTGTCTAGGTTTGTCATTGCTTTTCTGCTTTGCTACTTACCGGTGTGTAATATGCTATAAAGTTTCTCCTATTTGATGTCAGCAGGGGGCTGAAACTGTCATCCTCCTTCTGACACCTGTTTAGTAAACAAATGTGTGGCCATTTGCAGTTTCGTCATCATGTTTGTTTAGAAGCTGAAGAGGCAAAGTAAAGTATGCTTCCTCTCTGTTTCAATACTCAAACTAGCTTAATTTGCAGTTCTGCTCCTTGAAGACAGCATTTCTTGTTATAGCTTCCACCTTTGTGAATAAACATTCCAGACCGAATGCTCATGAATCTGTAGACTGATTCTCTGGAGATCTGTTGCCTAGAATGTTTCTTTGCATTGGAAAAAAAAACCTCGTATAAAAATTGCAGAGGGGAGGAGAGAGAGGATCTAGGTTTGGTCTTCTTGCTGACACTGGGACTATACATTTTTCCCTGTTGAAGAAAACACACACATTTTTTTACCACTTAATCGGAGCATTGAGTCAGCTCTCATCAACATGAGATACTATTAGAGCTACGGTTGCATTCTGGCAAGGCAGAACCCGTGTATGTCAGGACTCAGTAGCTTCAAAATATCACTTGCATTGACATATAATTAATTATTCAAACTCACATAAATATTAATTATATGCCAGTACAAATGACATATTGAAGCTACTGAGTCTTGTATACTAGCGATGACTAAAATAAGCTCTGTACTTTATATAGGGGTGTTTTGCAGGACCTTTTCACCTGTCAGGCTTGGTCTGCTGGGCTAGAAAGCTTTGCCACTCCTGAAATAGAAGTTTAAAGTCCTAACCAGCACTTTGATTTGGGTCTGGATATGGGCCGACCGTCAGTTAAACTCTTGTAATAGTGGAGCCACACGATCCTGATAACTGGCTCCAGTCAGCAGTCTGGCCGCAGCATACTGTGCCAGCTGAAGCTTTCAAACAAAAGCTAGGTCAGTTGCAGTGCAGGTCATGAGGTATCATGGCCAGATCTGACTTTTCTAGGAACAGGTGCACCCAGCGCACCAAGCAAAGTTGTGCAAAGACACTTTTGCCCACAGCCAGCTTCTGAACATCCAGGTTCAGGGTGCAAAACTCAACTTTAAAGTGGGGCGCAATCCAGACTAGCTGCTGCTTGCTTTTGGTTTAGTTGAGAGTAAACTGGTCAAATCAAGCCCTTGCTGTTAAATAGAAACATGTCGAAGAAGAGCTTATAAGTATATAGTGACCTGTAAACCATCACCAAGGGATGCGGGTGGCGCTGTGGGTTAAACCACAGAGCCTAGGGATTGCCGATCAGAAGGTCGGTGGTTCGAATCCCCGCGACGGGGTGAGCTCCCATTGCTCGGTCCCTGCTCCTGCCAACCTAGCAGTTCGAAAGCACATCAAAGTGCAAGTAGATAAATAGGTACCGCTCTGGCGGGAAGGTAATCGGCGTTTCCGTGTGCTGGCCACATGACCCGGAAGCTGTACGCCGGCTCCCTCGGCCAATAAAGCAAGATGAGCGCCGCAACCCCAGAGTCGGTCACGACTGGACCTAAAGGTCAGGGGTCCCTTTACCTTTACCTAAACCATCACCAAACTCCCCTGTGATTTTGCTCTGGTTCTAGAACCAGATGAGGGCGCTCTGCAACATGTTACTTTTTGGGGATGGTGTTTGGGCTTCTGTCTTCTGGCAACAGAGACATCTTTATCCTTTCTCAGGTGTTTCAGTTGTGGCCTTGAGTAATTTCCCTCCTGTTCTGGAGTTCAACCCTCCACTTTGTGGCGGATCTTGTCTTGTGGTGGAGTGCTAGTTGTGTTGACCTTCTGCTCCTATCTTAAACTGCACATCCTCGGTTTGGAAAACCACGGCAGTTTTTAAAGAAAGAGACTGAGCCCTTGATACGGTTGGACTTTCCCCACTGCTATTCCTGCAAGGGTTGCATCTCTGAGAGAGGTAATGTGACCTTTCGTTCTGAAGTTCCTTAAAGGCCAGCAGTTTGTTAAATAGGGTTTTAACAGATCAAATGCCCTTTTGATTAAAATTTTTAAAATTATATTATCTCATTCAGTATGGATCATTGATGGCAAGGAGGTAAAAAATAACTGTGGCATTTCTCTCAGAGGCTGGTGAAAGGTCATTAATCTAATGCTTTGCAGAAACCATTAACTCCTTATGTCAGGCATTGCCGCTGGCTGGGTGAGAGGACTATGAATGGGAGAAGGTTCAGTTGCAGGTGACTGGTTTCATTTCGTCAGATTTTTCAGCCAAGTAGTACAGCAAAAGCAAATAAGTTTTCCATCATACAGAACAGCTGACACCTGGAGACTGAAGGTGTGTCCCAGTGAGCAAGATCTGTACTGCCAGCGTTGGCTCAGCTGTGCTTGTGGGTCTTTGCCTTCCGCAGCCCATGGATGGGGCCTGGTTGCAGTGATACCCCTGCAGTATGGACAACAACTGGCCATTTTTTTCTCCAGGGAAGATAGAGAGATATAAGAAATAGGCATGCAGGAAAGCATAAATTCCAGACATGAAGCCTTCAGGCAAAGATGCACTGTTTAGAATGAGAAAAACGGGTTTATTTAGTGACCTTCTCATGGAGAGAGATTCAAGATTACCCACGTCTTGGTCCAAGAAACCAGATACCTTCTTGTTACAGTATAAACAATTTTAACAGCAGCTCTAGTTTTCCTGTTTCTAGCCTTCCCACATATCTAGATTCTTTTGGAATTAGCCAGTGGAATTAGTTCTTGCTTGACCTCCACCTAGCAACTGAAAATACTTTCGTAGGAGAATGCTTAGAAAAAAAATAAATATTTTCAGGTTATACACTGACATTGTAGCATCTGGTTAACTGACAGAGGTGTGCTTAAGAATATATGGTGGCTTTATAAGTCATCCTTCCCCCAACCTAGTTTGAACTACAATTCCCATCAGCCCTAGTCAGCACCATTAGTTCCCGAACACTGTAAATCCTGTCCAATAGCTGCCGACTGTAGTTGAAGAACATACTGGAGGTAGTTGAAATGAATGCCAACCCTTGCAAGAAAGGATTAATAACA